ATGGTATGCTGAAACAATCTGGAAATCTGTAAATGAAGTAATGCTAAAGGTAGCCGTCTCCTGAACTTCAAATCAGAACTTCTGAATTCTCATCAGCTTCAGACTGCTACGCAAATCTGCAACTGGAGCCTTTATAAAATGAGCAGAATGTACAGTGTTCTGCAGACAGTGCATTACATTGATATTACAAATATTATTCAAGTACGATAGATAATATTAGGAGAAACAAGGATTAAAAGACAACAGCAAGTTTTGCCAGAATTTTTTTTTATTATTATTATTTTATTTCAAGATACAATTCACAAATTTTAATGTGAAGAAATAGTAAAACGACTAGAAACAACTCAAAATTGAACAAGAATGACAAAATTTTCTATTTAACTTAACAATGTAACAAAATTAGAAGTTCTATGTGGTTGGCATGAATGGTACAGAACATTTTCTAGCAGCAACTTACAGGTCATATTGGCCAACTCCTCCATGGTCCATGCTCTCACTTAATTGACCCTGGGGATGGGAGGGGTAGAAGGAAGATTAATTATAACAAAAGAAAAAAAGCAGCATTAAAAATAGATGCACATGATTATATATAGAATTATAATTCATATTATATAATTAAATAAGCCTAAAGGTCAGGAATAATAAATTATCAGTAGAAGATACGAAATCTACGAAATTCTGTGCAAGATTTGCAATACTTCCACATATCTCAAATGGTGACACGTGGAACCACTGTTTTACCTGACTGCATTGTTACTCAATCACTTAAAATATTAGAGGTAACAACTTCACACACCCCCAAGTGAATTTGAAAAATGCTAAGGTACTGCATTTTTTTTTTACAGTTGCTTTTACATTGAATTTTAAAATCCTATTACAAGTATTATGCGAATTAGAACAATAATAAAGATTACGTGAATAGATGAACTGGGATTCATATGCACTAGAAACAAATAATCTACTGAGGTTTTATTATTCTATATTGATAATAATCAAATCCCAATAGCGATGAAAGAATTAAGCTTTACTCTGATGCTAAAAACCTTTTCTGACCAATAATTGTTCAGATAGATCAATGCATGCAACTATTACTAAAGAAGACTCAAGCACTTCAAGATCAGAACTAGTCACCATTAAAGAATGTAGTTCAATTCTGAAGAGATATTTTCTTCAAAGAATTTTCAACTTGATCCCTTATGCAAGATAATACTTCCCTATAATTGTGGCTCTACATGGCAAAAGAAGTGCAAACCAAGCAGGCAGCTGGAATGAATGCAAATAGACTTCAATGGGCAAGCTTCTAATAAGCTTTATACTATACTTTAACATTTTTATTTTTAAAAATATGTACATAACAACTGCAAGTTAGCGAGGAACAGCCTGGAATCTACAGGCTGAATAACAATATATTGAGTGACGTGTGAAATTCAGAGAATCGGAAAGAAAAAAAAAACCATCGAGATCTGCAAAAAGCAGATCAAGCCCAGGTGTGCATTTTTAAGTATTATATAAGTGAAAACACTAACCGAATAAAATTAGGAACTTTCAATAGCTTCCAAACCATTTAAACATTAACGTTTACAGAGGCTAGTTTATTTTGGTGGGTGATCTAGAGGGGAATTTAACTCCTGGTTCCACCTACAAGCACCACAAGCAATTACGGAGTCCAAAAGTTCAAGTTTGTTTCCAGGTCAGAGAGTTGCTAGCTCATGTCCTCTATTAGAGAAATCCAGCTTACTGACATCTGTTTCACAACAAAACCCACTAAAGCTGCCCTTGACCCTACCGTTAGATGCCAACAAATGAATTAAAAAAAATTCAACAAACACAGAGAATAAACACCCATCACGTTCCTAGAACACCTTCTCAAGTTACCCAACGGTTCTGGCAAAGTTCATACATGCTATTTTTGACCCTGTGAACTACGGTTTTCTTTCTCAGTATGAACAAAATTCGCTTTAGATACCATTCCACTATTTTCAGGATTCCTTCTCATTTCACAAAACCAAGGAACGCAATAGTATTCTGGCTGGAATGCTAGCAGCCCTTCAGTCTATACTTATGTTTTCATTTATTACAAACACAAAAATTAAGGCTGGTTTTTTCACCATTATAATTAACGCAAACAACTGTATGGCTTATGAGTAAACTCTCCATTTAAACGATTCTTCAGATTTTCTAGACTGGCCGTGCCTATTCAAAACGCTAACGGATCTGTTCTTGCTACTACTAGGCTTACACCTTTCAGGAGGTACCAGGGACCAGCACCACAGAGATTAAACAAGATAGTCCAGACTTTACATCTCGCTCACTTCCAGTTTAATGATCTCAACTGCTCTGGCTGCAACGTCATATTTCTGATCCCTGTAAGACATGCACAACGCCTAGAGATAACTTCCAGTTAAACATTTTTCCCCTTACACTTTCCTGACGCTTCCCCTTCTTTCCTGCTCTTATATTCCCTGCTTTTCAGTTCCGTTTTAATTTCAAGCCCGTTCTCATCCTCCTTCATCTGTTTGCCAAAAGGCACCTAAGAAACAAATTAGGTTGCCAATGTGCATTCGAGTCCACAGTTCTGCCACAAGGATTTCAGTCACAGCCGTTTTTTAAAATTCACAATGAGTTTTTTAATTGCTCCCTGAGACTGAATTATTGGAACATGAGAGAGAACAAATTCAACTTTCTTGCCACCCCCCTCAGACCCTGTTCTTGGCAACATTAACAGTGTGATGCAAGCGACATTTTTTTTACGCCAAGTACTTTATTGATTATTGAGGTGACAGACAGTGCTTTTTCCTGCAGGTTGAGAAGCGTTCAAGCCTTCAGCTGTCAAACAACGTCTCTACAGTTTATATGCAGTGCGGGTATTCCAACTGTGACACAGAGTATCTGGTTATCTCAAAGACTCCAAGACTGTCGCTAGTATTTAAACAGCAAAAAATAAATGCAGTAGCAGTTTAAGCAACAGCAAGTGTTTAATATACAAAACAATGTAAAAAAGCAACAGCAGCACTAGAAAAATATAAACAGAGGTCTTGTAATAAAATTCCCCAAAACCCTTAACAGGATCTATACGAACGTTACAAAATGACAAACTACAGATTACAGGGCGAACCGTGTACGACAGCATGAGATGGAGATGCACGTTGATCCATGCGGACGTCTAATGTGGCATTTTAAAGCTCTGCTTTTAATTTTGCCGCCAGAGCAACGGCTTCATACAGTTCCAGAAAGATTAGCGTTTCTGCACTGACGTTAAAACATGTGACAAGAAAAAAAACCCCGCTGCGGCACTTCTGCGAGGAAATCCAACGCAAAACTTCCAAGGCAAAAAGCTCCTGCAAGTTTGGCGCAGCCCCACCAGCCAGCCGGAGCGCAACCGCTGGCCGCCCGCCCTCGGCGGGGGGAGCCCCCCTCGCCA